TCATTTGTTTTGATAGTAATTTTGTCATCTATGTCTGTTTCTAAAGCGAATAATGTGAAAAATGATGGATTAGTCAACAGCTAATTATAAATACTACTTCTAGGGCGTGGTTTATTCAAGAATTTTCAACAAGAGGAGGAAAAAACACATGATTTGCAGGTTGAAGAACACAAAATTGCAAGAAAATTAAGAACACGCTATAAATCAAGAGAATGTGAATTTATCTTTAGAGTTTTATTTTCTTTCAATCTTTTGTTAGACATGGATTTTTCTTTTATTATTTTTACTCATATTTTAATTATATCTATAACTAAACAATTTAGATTCTAAAAATGCTAGTAGATAATTCGATTAGTTTGATGAATTTTTAATTTGAATAATATTCGTGTATTGTTTTAGTACTTGTACAAGTTATTTTTACCATGAGAACGAGCAACACACTACTGTTTTAAGTTATTTTTACAGTTTATTTTTGGGAAGGCTGACCTGAAGCCCGGTCCTTACATGTCAAAAACTCCATAACCAGAAGATGTAAATCGAGCTGTGTGAACACGCGCGACACTGTTCTTACCAGCATTGTCTATAACAAGAGTTGCAAGAATTTGAACAAATATGTTCTTATCCATCATTTTTTTTATACTCAATAGCTAGCTATTTGAGGTACACTACTTCCTAAAAACTAAATTCTAGAAGAGCACGATTTTAAGAAAGATACAAAAAAAAAAAAAATGAGAAATTACTAAAAACAGAAACTAAATTAACTAAATATATCATAAATGAAGAATTTTAAATACAAATTTTATCGGATTAGAAATGTGGGGATAAAAAGTATAAAAAGTTGTTTTGGAAAAAGTTGGATGAATTTGAAAATGTGAGTTGTTATAAGATAATATTTCAATGAATGAAGATGATTTGATACAAAAACTAACATATTAATAAATAATGATAAATGGTTAAAAGTCTGCGAGTGTATTAGTGAATAGATTTGTTTTAAAATATATAATTGATAAAAACTGAGAGAAAACGAGTGCTATCCACTATCATGAAGCGCATTATGGAAAAACAGGGAAAAGTTCATATGAAACCTAAGTGAGGTTCAATCCCAAAACCAATTGGTGGAAGAAGGAGTAGTCCATTAGACTTATAAGATGAGCCTATTTTCCATGTATGAACCATGTGAATAACTCACAAGTGATATTCTAACAATAATAATAATTATTTATTAATTTAAGGTGTCAGTGCAATTATAGAAAATGAATCATTTTTATGTTCTTATAAAAAAAAAATATTTTATTTCTTTTTCTCAAACGAACAAAATTGAAAATATATATCTTATGTCATTTTTGTTTTGGTCTAAAAATAGAAATTGGGGGCTTCTTTTAGTGTGAAACTATGAACTTAAAAGTCATTCCTTTGAGGGCGAGGGGCCATGCTCTAAAGTTGGTTCATGATTCTGATTGGTGGACAACCCAAGAACTGATCAATAGTGAATATAAACACTTTTCCATCTCTTGTGCGTCAGACAGAAAATAATAGTTGCATTGAAAATTTTGCATGTGGTCCCAACTCATCAAACTTGTCACATATAATTATATATTGTGCCACAAATTTTAATTTAAATTAAAGTAATAAATCTAGGGTTTCATGGTTCAAACATTTTCCCATTCTGGTATACATGAAGAATCCGTCTTTTGCACTTTCAGCAATAAGAATAAATTAAATAAATAATTATTTAAAAAGTTAAAAAAAAGTTGGCTTCTAATTTAGGACTTCCTTTTGCATGCAATTCTTGAACATATAAATATTGGGGCTCTGCCAAATATTCTTAAGAGTTACGAGCATAAAGCAACTCCACAACACAAATGGGGACAATATTTATTAGGAAAATTCTTTTGGACATCCTAAATATGGCAAATACAGAATGTGAATTTCTATAATCGGAAACCAAAGTATGTTGCCACTTAAAGAATTGAACCCATGGCAAACTTCAGCACGTCCCATGTTATATAAATCTTATCATGTTGGGTTTTCTGGATTCTATATTCTTGTTGATTACAATTTTTTAGCTTTAATTATTTATAAATAGTCTTGATTAATTCTACATGGGTCGCATCTGTTGTTCACTTCGTTGTTTAATATATAAACTATTCTAGATGTCTGATTCATTGCAACTTGTAGAGTTTAATTTTCTCTTGTAATTGCACAATCTAGTGGGGATAGTCCGGTCTTCGAACCTAATTTATTTTTCAAAGATTTTTGCTTTGAAGTTAAGAGGCATATATTAGTTTAAATGTAAACACAACGTAGTAACCGATCATTTGTTCTCGAGCAATGTAAGAACTTGTGACTTACAAAAACACCATCCCATCATATAGTAGTGGTACTGATAATATATTGTAAATAGACGACCTAGACCGACTCATGATTCATCATCTTGGTCTAAAATCATAAATTAAATATCATAATGATATTGGAATGTAGTAGTCAATTTGTCATTTTCAGAATTGCAATTAAGTTTAAAACATCACTTAGGCTTTTATACGGTATTTTCAGTGTTTTAAATACCGTACCGGTGGTATATATTAACGGACTAGCAAAATAATGATATTTATAAATATACATAAAAATATATACCAAATGTAAAGAAGTAATAAAATAAGTGACTATAATCATTAATTTCAACTTCTCAATGAGATAAAAATAAAAAATTTTAACTACCAATTTAAATTTTATGTTTTTAAATTAATAAATTTTATTTTTTTTAATTTTTTTTTATTATTGACCTGTATTTTGGACCGGTATTTACGGTATGATTCCGGTATAAACCGGTATAACCGTAAATTCAATATTTTGTGTGCAATTGTACTATACCAATGACCGGTACCGGCCAATACAGTACGGTATTTAAAACATGGGGTATTATATCACTTGCACGAACGAATTTTCAATATACACACACACTATAATATAATATTGTGGATTATAATTCAATATATTATAGTTTTTCATTTACTATTATAAATGAAAAAAAAAATTATACATATATTATTAGCAGGATAATGCTATAGATACATAATATTGTACATAAGGGTGTACATAACACTCACATTGAGTGAGACCTACCAAAAATAAAAAAGATAATTCTATAGGTACATAATATTGTACATAAGGGTGTCATAACACTCACATTAAGTGAGACCTACCAAAAATAAAAAATCAACTGGACCGGTACCCACTCCATGTGAGTGTTATGTACACCTCTATGTACATTTATTATGTACATGTAACATTTTCCTTTATTAGCAACGATTTTTTGTATGTCATTCAATCCTAGTCTTAAATGTTATTAAAGCTAATTTCAACCTAGTTGAAGATAAATTTCTTTAATACTTCAAACAATAGCAACTGAGCAAAGAAAATTGAAGAGTGAAT